GTTTGTGCGCTTTATGAAACTGTGAAACACTGACTTCCTATTTTCCTATTCTTTGAATTATGAGGGGGTATGCTTAGTATGACAACACATGCATTCCTGGATTGTTTTTTATGCCTCCGCCGTCTGTACGTACATCCACCCTTGCGTCCCAAAATTGGTTTCCGTTCTCTAAATTGAGTTCGCCTCAACCAAATGTTATGAAACTTATACACAATGCTTATTACCACAAAACACAGATCAAGTTTGAATTTTGGTGGCATCACTATAACCGTTCTAGAGTTATGTCCCTTTGTAAATGGAAAAATTGCAAAATTTTTAGTTTCCGTTCTCTAACTTAAGTTTGCCTCAACCAAATGTTATGAAACTTATACACAATGCTTATTACCACAAAACACAGATCAAGTTTGAATTTTGGTGGTGTCGCTGTAACTGTTCTAGAGTTATGCCCCTTTATATAAATGGAAAAATTGCAAAATTTTTATTTTCTTCTTAATATCAAGTAATTTTTAAATTTGGAGTTGTCTTTTTTTGTCCATGATTATAGTTGAATCAACTACAATCAATGCTCTATACAATGCAATGTTTAATTTTGACTTCCACTGATAAAACAAAGATCAAGTTGAATTTGGGTAGTGTCACTTTAACCATTATTGAGTTATGCCCCTTTATTAATCGAAAGATTGCAAAATTTATAGTTTCCATTCTGTAACTTAAGTTTGCCCAAACCAAACATTATGAAACCTATACACAATATTCATTACCCCAAAACTAAGATCAAGTACAAATTTTTTGTTTCCGTTTTCTAACTTTAGTTTGCCTCAACAAAATGTTGTGAAACTTATACACAATGCTTATTACTACATAATACAAATTAAGTATGAAATTTGGTGGCGACACTTTTACCATTCTTGAGTTATGTCCCTTTATAAACATAAAAATTGCTGAATTTTTCGTTTCTGTTCTCTAACTTTAGTTTGTCTCAACCAAATGTTATAAAACTTATACACAACCGTTCTAGAGTAATGCGTGTTTACAAATAGAAAAATTGCTAAAATTTTAGTTTCTGTTCTCTACTTAAGTTAGCCTCAACCAAATGTTATGAGACTTACACACAATGCTTATTACCACAAAACTCAGATCAAGTTCAAATTTGGGTAGCGTCACTTTTACCATTCTTCAGTTATGTCCCTTTATAACTATATGATATGCAAGCCGGGACATCATCTGTGTCCACATGTGGACACTATCCAAATTTATTTTTATTCTGTTTAACTTCGAATGTCTTGCAATCAATAAGCTGTAAGACGTATATATCTTGATTTCATTTGAAGATGGACCTTATATTTTATTGTTTATTTGCTGTCACATTGACTTGTTCCCCATATCTGAAAACAACAAAGTGTATTCAGTTTTACATTGCCTAGAGAGACTTCCCAGTCAAGTGTTAGGAATAATTATGAAAATGCTCAATTATACTTTAATGTTGTGAAGATAGTATGAAATCTGTAGTCTTTTTTTTTTTTTACTATTTGATATTTGACAGTTTAATTGTAAATGTGTAAAATAATTGGTGTGATAAGCCTGTTATGATGGTTATTGTTGAAAAAAACAGGAACCTGTTGGATTCCAGTAAATTGTCTAGTTCCAGAAATAGACTATAGCATTGAAGTATCACTAGCATGATCAACTATATTGACAGAAACTGAAATAAACAAATAAAATATTTATTTATTAATTAACCTTGATCAATAAATAACTTATAATTTTATTTCAAATTTCATTTCTTATTTTTTTAAGAAAGAAAAGTGAATGTTGTTTGTATCACAAATGACGGGAAATGAATTCATTAAATTTTGAAAAGATAAAGTGGTCTATGTCAAGAAGGAAGAATTAACATGTTTACATATCATATTTTAGGATTGGGTTTGAACAAAAGAAAAGGTTTAAAGTCCGAAGCGATTCAGGGTCATTAATGTTCGTTTTAACTATGCGTCTTGATTTAACTGTGGATGAGAAATTGATTGCCACTGTATAATTACATTTCAGCTCTTGATAAATAACTTATTCAATAATCAGATACTGGGTATTGACAAAATGTATTGAAAGTAATAATATGTTGTATAAAATACAACTTAACGGTAAGGATACTGTCATTGTTGACAATGATTGGGATAAATAATCCTGTATCTTATTATGTTGGAAATCTATACATGTATGAGAAATGGAAGTGTGGACTTATTCAGTTAATTGTAGAATTTCAAAATCAGTTAAATGTGTATAAGGATATTATTTCAATTAATTTTCTTTAATGCATTGATTTAGAGACCCCTATTGAGCCTCAGTCCAACCAATTATTTTTATATGCTGCATAATTCACACAGTTGATAAAGATGCACCATATATTTTTTGAAAAAAGAAAAACGTCATATCACCAGGGTTACAAGTAGGAAGAGTAATAAGATGTAATGGTCAACAGGATCAAAATGTTCTTATTCAAATACTAGTATTGAATTTTAGAGAATACTGGAGACAAAAGTCCATAGGTAATTGAGACTACATGAGACAAAAGTCCCATGGATACTAGAGAATACATGAGACAATAGTCCATGATGTTTTAGAGAATACATGAGACATTATTCCCATGGATACTAGAGAATATATGAGACATTATTCCTATGGATACTAGAGAATACATGAGACAAAGGTCTCATGAAGTATTAAAAAATACATGAGACAAGGTTTCCTTGAACTTTGTAGATTAAAATATTTCAGCATTCTTAAAATTTACAGTTAAAAGATTAAAACTGATGAAATTTGCCAAGCAAAATTAAGAATCAATCTGCATGTACCAATAACAATTGCTGCATTTTCAACATCGGTATCCGTAAGGATATCCACACACTCTGGCTATATCACCTGTTTGTCCACATTCTTCTAATGATGAGAAAACAAATCCTCATCTAAACTTTCCTTGATAAATAATTTACAGGTAAATAGTTTAGAATTAAAAAAGAATACTAAAGGAGGAAGTTGATTGTGTTATAAGTAGGCAGCTATATTTTATGAAAATATGTTATAGAGGAAATTAAAAAACACTAATGTTATATTGTGTAAATGATTCATTTTATTTCTAATACATGTACATCAGTACATATAATTGCTACAGTTTTAATCACCAATATCTAAAATTGTCTTCAGAAAGCATGCATGTTCTTTAAAGAAAGGTTACCAGTTCTTGTTGGAACAAGATGCTTTTGAATGGTTTTGTGATATATATGGAAGAGAAAAATGTATAGCTTTAATAGTAAATCGGCATAGCTGATTGCTTACGACAGTGCTTAGTTTGGAAGGGATCATGGCCAGTAGACACATTTTTAGTCTGTTGCAGGATTTCATGGTCTTAGTAAAGTATAGGTGTTACAATGGTTGTCTGTCTCAAACACAATTTTTTTTTTTTTCAGGATGACTATTGTTCTAGTAACTTCTAGTCCATACATGCTTTCAAAATTTAAACACAATTTTATTTAGTCAAACAAAAGAGGTTTGCATTTCTAAGAATAGTTTAAGAATGGGGACAAAAATAGTTTTTGTCTTGCTGCATCAGAAGTTGCAGAATGCAAGATGTAGGGATATTAATCCTGCAGTGATGGCAATCTTGGTACTTCATATGTTGTATGAAGATGCCTTATGTTATGAAGTTTCCATCTATTATGTGTCCCATTTCCCTTAGACTCATTTGCATAGTTCAGCTAATGCTTTAAAAAAGCAGTATAGTTTTCTTATGATGTGAATTTCTTGCTTATTATAAGTGATATAATAACTTTATTTGGAATATCAGATCCTCGCAAGGTCAACATATCTGTCAGACAGGACTTATTTGACCTTGAACATTGATCAAGGTTTATTTTTGTGATTAGGTCTGTTTCCTTGGGTACTATAAGCAGTAGTTTTTTTTTTTTTTGGTGAATGGAATTATTGCACAGGATACTTGTCCATCTGACAGAGTACATTCAGCTTTTCTTGATAAGGTCTGTGTATCAGACACTATAAGCAGTAAGTCAACTAGATTTGGTGAATGGAATGATTATAAGGCATGCATTTCCCCCATGGCAGGGATCATTTGACCTTGACATTATTGTAATGGTTCATTGGTCAATGTTATTTTTACTTGATTTGGTCTGTTTCTCAGATGCTATAACTTATGCAGTAGGTTTACTATATTTGAGGAATCAAATTATTGTAAAGCATACATGTCTCCCTGGTAGGAGTCATTGACCTTAATCTCATTTTATTAGCTCATTGGTCAATGTTCTGTTTTAAATATTAGGTCATTTTCGTAGATACTTTAAGCAGTAAGTCAATTCTGTTATCTTTATTTGGAAGATTGAAAGGTTTACATTTTTGTCTTACAGGGTTAATTTGACCTTGACCTCATTTTCATAGTTCATTGGTCAATGTTGTGTTGTTGTGAATAGGTATGTTTCTTGGAAAATATAAACAGAAGGTCAGCTTCATTTGGATTATATAATGATTGTAGGGTGTACATGTCTGTCTGGCAGGGTTTATCTGACCTTGACCTCATTTCATGGTTCTTTTGTCAACATTAAGTTTTTGTGGTTTCTTCTGTTTTTCAGATACGAAAAGTGATAGGTCAACTTTATTTAATGTATGAATTAATTGTTAGATGTGAAATGTCCATCTGGTGGTTAGTGGTGGGTTCATATTACCTTGACCTTATTTTCATGGATCTTGATAATACTAAGTTTATGTGATATTTGTCAACTAACAAGGTATATTTACCCCTTTGCATCAGGCATAAGATAGACATGCCAGTTTTGGGGATTTTTTGTCTATTTAATGTCTGATTTTGTACTCAGTCCTAGCCCATTCAATGGAAAAACACTGTTTCGTGTATGGCAGGGCAAACTTCTATTTTCAGTTAATTTAGATTGGTGAAATTTAAATACAACATGTTTTAAATAAATATTTTATCACAACAGGTGGCCAAACTATTAATATACAATGGATATAGAAGTCAATGTCAGAATCAATCTTTCTAAAGTTGACCAAAGGGAAGTAACTCTGGTAGTACCAGAACAGACAACAGTTGGCAGTTTTATCAGAAAAGTGTGTAGAGAAAATGATATTCCTATGAAAACCAGTTATGTTTTGACATTATATGAATCGAGTGAACCATTAAGATGGTCTTCCAGACTCAATAGCTGTCATGTAAATACTGGAATCACTGTGGTGTTAGCTGAAAATGAGGATGGTAAGTTGTAAATAGGCTTTATTACAAAGATGGAATTTCTCATATTTTGGATAAATTATGTCCCAAATTGATGTCAGAGAGAATAATCAATTCCAATTTTCATGTTTAAGGTGGTACCCAACACCTTCACTAAAATTAATTTGGCTCGTTTAATTTTCATAAAATTTTGACAAAGTATTTACTTTGACCCTTTGACAAAAATATAAAAATTTCAAAAAATTTGAACCAACCAATTTATCAGAAAAATTAGACTGGTTATATAGCAGTTTCACAAACACTAACTTTGATCATTGAGAAGCTTAATATTCCCTTAACAACACAACGTAATTAAAACGTTTAGCTGATTTTACTCCCTTTTACTTGAGTTATCTCCCTGTAGTGTTAGGTACCACCTTAAAACAGTTTAAATTAGAAAAGGTAAACATGTTTCTTGCAATTAGTAAAACGAGTAATGAACATCAGCAGTCATAAGTGATAAAAAATTTTGTTTGAAATACAACCAGTGTTAGATATATGGTTTTGAAAGAATCTGTGTGTAGACCAACACAATTAATGTTAGAGGGTTTAGGGTTTTATTGAGATTTCAGATAATCATTCACTACAGAATATATGTGCATCACTGTTTTTTTCTTACAAGTTTTTTCTCCAAATGTATGTGAACAATAACCTATTAACTGAAATGATGTGTTTGTATTTCCTGCAATGTATTTCCTACATTTCCTATAATGTAAATTTAACATTTATAATGACATATTTACTTTTTTATGTTTTATTCATAGATTACTTGCTCGATATGTTTTAAGTTTTGAAGAAGTGTACATTTTTTTGTTCTTACAGATGAAGACATGAATGAAATAAGAACTGTACATTGTAATCTTTGGTGGCCATTTGCCTTTATATGCTTCATGATTGGTATAATAGGAATAACAGCAATAGTGGTTGTGAAACACATGCAGGAGCAGCCAGAATATGAGGTAGGTTACATTACGGTAATGATAGTAATAGAGGTACAGAACAAGATGGATAACAAAGCATGTAAAGAATAAAAGTCTATATCAAGTTCCCAAAAAATTTGATTGAACCCATGCACCGATATCACGTCGAGTTAGTTAACAGATACTTAATGGTTTTGCGGCATCACATTGTCAACGTTTGAAGTCGGTTTGTTGGCGTTTCTGTCAATATAATACTTCCATGCTCAGACTGATTAAAACTGACTCCTTAGCTTCCATTATATGATATGTCAAATGAAGAAGACAACAGTCCTCTTACTCCTATGTTCATTTTAAACAAAATTTACATGTGAAATTTGTATTGATATATAATTCTAATATTTCAGTATGGTATTGTAATGGATGCTGGATCCTCCCACACCAAGCTGTTTATTTATAAATGGGATGGAGTGAAGGAGAAAAACACAGCTCTTGCAGAACAAATACACACCTGTTCTGTTCCAGGTAAAACACATTCTAAATAAAATGCACACCTGCAGTGTACAAGGTAAAACATATTCTAAACATTAATAGTGTTATGATAATGTACCTGTTTGTGACTTTTTTGGTCACAACATTCCAAAAATACAAAGATTAATCTTTTATAAAAAGTATTAGATACAGATATATGTTTGAAAGTCTGATTTTTTCAGATCAGTCTGGTATTTGGGGTTATTTGGATCTGTGGTAACGTAAATGGGGGGGGGGGGCTGCCAAACAGTGTCCATTCATTAACATGAAAACGCTTTGATGACATCTTTTCAAATTTAGATATGTTGTTTCCTGTGACTAAATGAAGATCAAGTTCAATTTTCATGATTTTTGCTATTCTCGTTGTTGAGTTGTAGACCTTTCAGTAGCAAAAGTGATTCTTATTATATGATTTATTTATTTTGAGTTATTTCCCTTTGAACAGAAATGGTGTAATTAATAAGTATATGGATAGAAAGTCTATCAATGATTGTATCTGTTCAATTGATTTTAGTCAGGAGTTGTCAAAAATTTCTTTATATCTATTTTTTTTATTTAAAGTTGGTGTTTTGAAGGTAGATTTCACAGTTCTGTGGTATTTTCTTTTTGTTGTGTGTGTTAATGTTTAATTTTTACTTGATCCTGTTTGGGGGGCCAGATTTACAAATTTTTTTACTTGATCCTGTTTGGGGGTCCAGATTTGCAAATATTATTTTCATTAGATAATATCTATTTTTATTCTTCCTATAAAACTACACACAAATTGTATAATAGATTTTTACAATTAACTTAATACACACATTTGTACATGTATTTGGATTAGGACAATGTATTTACTATTAATTTATTCATGCAATAATTTTCCACCTTTTATCAAGATAACAAACATGTTGTTTTTATCAACTAACAAAATTAGTGACAGATTTATTACTGATTTTTGGCCAAGTTTTCAAGTTGGTCCAAATCGGGGTCCAAAATTAAACTGTTTCATTTCAACATAAATTGAATATATATAGGGTTCTTTCAAATGCTGAATCTAAACCTGTATTTAAATTTTGGATTTTTGGGCCCTGTTTTCAAGTTGAATCAAATCAGGGTCCAAAATTAAACTTTGTTTGATTTCCACAAAAATTGAATTATTGGGTTCTTTGAAATGCTGAATCTGACCATGTATATAGATTTTGGATTTTGGGCTCCTCAACATTCATGATGACACGAGCTCCCACAATAAAGTGCACATGTAAACAAAAGAAAAACTTGATAGAAATCGTGTTTTCAGGATCCTAGCAAAAAAAATGTAGTTATAAGTATTGACTGCTTCTTTTTGTAAATTTATTGGGGTGTAAAAGCGTTGACCCAAGAACATTTTGTATGAAGTGCAGAAGCGCTTCATTCCAAAAATGTGACCACGGTCAACGCTTTTACAACCCTATAAAATTACTAAAAGAAGCATTCAATACTTATAATAACATTTTTTTGCTAGGATCATTAAAACACGATTTCTATCAAGTTTTTCTTTTGTTTACCTGTGCACTTTATTGTGGGAGCTCGTGTCATCATGAATGTTACATTTCATGTTGAAATGAAGATTAATTTTAGAATGATGCGAAATTGTTGTTAGCCAATCAAAATAACGTATTATAATGAAACATACATGAAATGTAATTATTTTTCTATGAAGCGTTTTGTGGACATTTCAACTTTTAATCATTTTCGTTTTTTTTCTTTTTTTTGCCATCAGTTTTTTGTACAACTTATGAGTTTTCATTGTCTCCTTGGTATCCTCTGTCTCTTTTTTCATATATTTAAGTCATGTCATCCGTAATGGTATTATTTCTATCTGTAATAGGTCATGGAATTTCAAGTTATGAGGCCAATCCTGAAGGACTAGCACCAGGTTTAAGACATTGTTTGAGAGAAGCTGAGGGTACTGTACCTAAAGAAAAGCAATCTTCTTCACCTGTTTACCTAGGAGCCACTGCAGGCATGAGACTAATTCAGTAAGAGAAACTAACATTTTTCATTCCCTCATATCTATCCACTGACCTAATTTCTATAATGCATTCCTCTTATTTTCTTTTTCCTCGTCATTTTTCGGTAGGTGTCCATAGTCGTCCTATAAGTAGCTCCTTAGAGTATAGTTTTGTAAAACAGTCTTTGTTAAAGTAATGTAATATATTGATACAAAACAATAATAGATAAGTGGTTATCGAACATGTCTAGCTGTCTCATGGAGATGCAACAGGCTGTTTATGTATTGAACATAGATATTTTCTTTAATTTATTGAATTTGGAGTTAAAACTAACAAAAAGAAAATGTGTTTTCTCTACAAATTTAAAAAAAAAATTGTCAAATTAAGTCCATGTTCTATCAAAATACTTTAAAATGTTTATAGTATATTGTGTAAGGAATTATTGACATAATCTTTTCAGTTGTTTATAATATATTGTACAATGAATTATAGATAGAATCTTCGTTTCAGTGAGGTAAACAGTACAATCACAGATGAAATCTTTAAGGTGGTAAGAAGCACTATTGCCGAGTTTCCATTCAAATTCACAGACCCTAATAAACAGGCCAGGATAATAACAGGGGCAGAAGAAGGACTTTATTCCTGGGTTACTGCTAATTATCTCACTGGAAAATTTGGAATGGTATGTTTAGATAGTCCTCCAGCTAGAAAGCTACAATAATTTACATGATTTATACAACCGATCATCTTTGTAGTTATTACAGTGTTGTGTAACTCAGACTGTTAAAGGGGTGGTCTTGATCTTGATATGTTTCATTGATAATAATTCAATATAAAATAAGGTGATGTTGTATGATGGGCCATGAGAGAACTATCCATCAAAGTTCAAATGACATAGATGTAAGCAATTAAGGTCACCTGGATTTTAAACAGTCTGTTACAACTGTGGGCAAAACCCATACAGTATAGTCAGATGTAAGCAATTAAGGTCACCTGGAGTCTCAACAGTCTGTTACAACTGTGGGCAAAACCCATACAGTATAGTCAGATGTAAGCAATTAAGGTTACCTGGAGTCTCAATAGTCTGTTACAACTATGGGTAAAACCCATACAGTATAGTCAGATGTAAGCAATTAAGGTCACCTGGAGTCTCAACAGTCTGTTACAACTATGGGCAAAACCCATACAGTATAGTCAGATGTAAGCAATTAAGGTCACCTGGAGTCTAAACAGTCTGTTGCAACTGTGGGCAAAACCCATACAGTATAGTCAGATGTAAGCAATTAAAGGGATACTTCGCAAAAAAATGAAAAATTGATATTATGTTGATTATGTATAAAAAACCACAAATTCATATATATTAAAGTTTAATTCTGCTAGATAAGAGATCACCATCGATTTTAAATATAGAGTATCACTTCTCCGCGTGCGGCCATTTTGACATCATTCCTGAATAGAAACCACAATATATCTATAAACTACAAAGGACCAAAACAAGCAGTAACCTAGCGTAGCCGTAATTGAGTGTCGATATCTTGTCAAGCGTAAGGTTGTTTTACCCGACAAGGAAAGCCTAAACAGTTTCCCCGAGTCACAAAAAAAGATTATAATAGACATGGTTGTGCATGCAACCTTTCCTAACTAACTTGATACGGAAAATGTAATTATATATAATTTTTTTTGAATAACTAGTACTATGGTCTGTCGTTTTAAAACTGTTTTTTTTTTACTAAGTTTTTGAAACAAGAAATTTTAATGGAAATTAGTTAAAAAGTTCAAAGTGATAAATTAAGTGTTCCGTGTAAAAATGTTTTTGAAAATCTAGTGTGTTCATAATTCATTTATGTAATAATCTTATCTAAATAAATTCGGACCTTCCCTTATCTGATCACCAGCATGGCTAAAGGAAATTGTGAGTTGACACGTCCAGGTATTCAAGCGATTTCCTGTAGGGCTTTAAAACTCTTATTACACAATTACATGAAGCAAGTTCGTGCATCACTTCACCTCTGAGGGTATTGAGAAGTGTACACGGCCGATAACTTGTAACTTTCCATTTTGAAACTATCAGGTGAATATACATCTTTGTCTTGCGTGTCCGATAGTGATATGCTAGTCTTTACTAAACCATAGATGTAATAGCCATTATATATATGACTAAACTCATACGCTTGTTTATAAATAACATTTATGGTGTAAAGCATATTTATGAAAATCTAAATAATTCCAAAAAAAGATTTGATAAAATAAAAATATATTTACATATTTTCCAAACGTAAATTGGGGAAAATGTAAGTAATTACTCGTTGTCAATAATTATGGACATTTTGAAACGTACAAATATTGATTAAACAAAATGTACGCACTTGTCGATCATTGGATTATACGCCTAGATAGAAGGTTACGGAACTATAGATAGTTGCAATTTAGAATATATACATGTATATTGAATATACGAGAGAAACATCCAAAACCAATCTGATTTAAATACAGGTCGATATCTAACTTGCTTTGGTTCATCGAAGTTATGCACATAGTAAAATCACAGATTTTTATTTCAATTAGATTATTTTGAACAGTTTAAGAAAGTCGTCATCATCTCAATGGTTGTGTATTATGTATAATAATGTAATAATGTGAACATGGTTCTATTATACCGGTAGTACCTCATGTCAATTTTCCTGTTCCGACCTGCATGTAATATATATGCCACTGGACGTACACTAATGATCCCCAAAAAGCTTATTTGAAGAAATAAAGAAACTTCACTCCGAATAGACTGATAGTAGATGTATTAACGTCTGGTCAGCTAGAGGGTTGATTAATTTATTTAGTAAGCTTAAAAGGGAGGGGAGATAAAGCATTCCTAATATTGCACTTATGCATAAAATATTAAATGAGAGTAATATAAGAGAAAATATAAATACGAAAAGTCGCATATCTGGTAAAAAAAAAGTCTCACTGGCAACTATAGAATTTCACGTACAATTGTCATTCTTAATCGAAATAACGGACAGTCATTAAAATACATGCATGTACACTTTGATAAAAAGGGGTGCTGCAGTTGCATATTATTCATCATAAATCTATTTCAAGTATATACTTTCCTGTCATTCTTATAAGTTAACGCAGAGACATGTAACTATACATCTCTAGTTAACGACAATCAACCATATAAATATTTGAATCTGATGTGACTTACCGTTCATCTCTTTCTTTTTTCTTCTTTTTTTTTTTTTTTATTTGGGCAGGAACACAAACATTGTAATGTTAGATATACTGTTCCCAGGTTGGGAGGGGTGGTGGTTGGAGGTGAAGTATATCGAAAGTTACAAAATAAGAACGTTGTATTTATGAATTTACATGAAGAATTCTGATCTTGGGTGTAGGTTTCTTTTTTTTTCTAAGTTCAGTGATTTAAATTGAGAGAAAAAAATCTAGTCAGAATTTAAATCGTACCGGCAATTTCCACCTAAGACTCCTCTAAAATCATGAATGGTCATGCTTCACAATCATCAGAATTTTCTTTGTATTGGTACATTCTGTATCGGTAGTGATTTACCTTGACATTTCCGGGTATAACAGAGCTACTTGTATATTACATGTATGTGGTTAGGTGACGTCCCATGAGGTCTTACGTATACAGGTTCACATTTATAATGGTTTCTGATATAACAAGGTTTTATGACATTCACACTTCTGCATGTTCTGTATACCAAATTCTTATCTTATTTTCAGACCAAACGAGGATGTGAATATTTTCCAGGAAAAATATTGAGTATCAAAGTATCAAATTAATTTCGGGATTTTTTTCTTTCTTGGTATTAAATCACAGAAACTTAAAGAATATACTGCTTGTCCGCTTTAGGTGTATTCTTGTCAGTTAAGACTGACATATATGTCTCTGGTATATAGTGGGTTTATGAATGAATGATAAGTCTTGCAAAGGTACAAGATATTATAAAGCACATTGAAAATTGATTCCGCCCGTCTGTCTCCATTCAAAAAAGGAAAGTTGACGTTAGATTGATTCTATTATTTTTTTTAAACATCGTTGGTCAAATAGCTAAAGTATGTATACGTTGTGAGATTTTAAATATTTTAATAAGGGCATTCCTGATTAGGTAAATGTAGATCGCTGTGGACGGACCAAGCTGTATTAATCATGTAACCGCGATAATTTTCTCTAAACATTGAAATATTCAAGGTTAATACCCATGATAATTTGAAAAAGTAAGGACAGTGTTTGGTTTATTCGCTCGTTTTCGTGGGCCTAAATTTTTATTTATAAAATTATTTAATTGAAAGCAATTCCGAATTTCCATGTTACAACAAAATACTCACCTATCTACTTTAAAATTAAGCTATTGCAAAATATAAAAGATATACATGTATATAACGGCGATTCAGGTATTTTGCCACCATATTCCTCCCCAAATAATTAATGTTTTTATCATTCATACGAAATGTTGTTCACACCTGTAACGGTGAACCGTGTTGGCTAAAATTCACTGAGTGAAGATCAAAAGAATAGAATTACAGAATGCTAATTTTTTAATTACCTTGAATTTAACCACGCATTCAACAGGTAGTCACTAAGTGTCTCAATATAATACACATTGTATTTACACAGTACTAGTGGGAAATGTTTGCTAGACTGAAGTAAAAGCCTTCAGGTGAGAATACAAACATGCATTTGTAAAACAATATCAGTTATATATGTTTGTTCAAAATATCCGTCGGAAAAAAAATTCATAAAAATATATTCTATTGTATGATTTACTTTTATTACTATAATTAATTTATATTATTAGATGATTGACGAACAAGACTTACAATGAGATTTATTCACTCCCGGCATGCAAAAAGACTTAAACTACGTCACATAAGTCAGGAAGTTGGAATAAATTAAATTATTAATTCCCAAATTTCTTCTTTATTAGTGTTCATATCCAGATAAAACTTGTTTTTTTATGGTATTAAGAATTTTCCCTTTAAGGTCACCTGGAGTCTCAACAGTCTGTTACAACTGTGGGCAAAATCCATACAGTATAGTCAGATGTAAGCAATTAAGGTCACCTGGAGTCTCAACAGTCTGATACAACTATGGGTAAAACCCATACAGTATAGTCAGATGTAAGCAATTAAGGTCACCTGGAGTCTCAACAGTCTGTTACAACTATGGGCAAAACCCGTTCAGTATAGTCAGATGTAAGCAATTAAGGTCACCCTGAGTCTCAACAGTCTGTTACAACTATGGGCAAAACCCATACAGTATAGTCAAACTCTTTTTAAATAAAATGTTATTCATAATGATTGGCAGTCACTGAGTTGTAGATTTTTGTTTATGAAGCTGTCTCTTTTTAGGCAAATACCCTTTTACTTTTAACTGATGGTTAAAAAAAAGTTATATTTTATTTTTGAACTGTTATATAAAATGTAAAAGATGTGTTTGGAACAAAATCAAATAGATATGCTTTCATTCATATAAGTAATACATGCTCGTAAACTTCATACTCTATTTGGCCTTTTTAACTTTTTTTATTTGACCGTCACTGATGAGTCTTTTGTAGATGAAATACACGTCTGGCATACTATGATATCATTACGTGATTATTTCTGTATTGGCCTTGTTATTGGCCTGAGGCTTGCTGTATTGCATCTGGCCAAGGACCAATAACAAGGCCAAAACAGAAATAACCATGTAATGATATCTTTATTAATTAACTACAGTGTTTACCTGTTTTTTTTGTATTTTATTTCTATTCACAAGATTTTAACATTTTTTACCTTTAAATGGAGCTATCCAAACTGAGTTTCCTTTTTTTAAGGTGCAATGTCAAATGATCTGGTGCTGTTTCGTGGTGTCTTCTACATTTTGTGATGATTTGTTCGCCCTTTTTAGGCACTATAAAGTGTTACAATTCATATTTAGACGCAACACATATATTGTAATTGGAAAGGTACTGCCATTGCATGAGAGATGCAGAAACAAAAGGATTAAATAAAAAGTAGGAGTTGAATATGATTGCCAATGAGACAACTATACATAGACTAACTGATTAAAGAACATAGACTGGGACACCCTGTGACACTATTAATATACAGACTACTGATCAAAGAACAAAGACTTCGAACACCCTTCGACACAATTGATATATCTGGTTCAGGTTGAAAAAATAAATGACACCTAACAAAAACATGAGAAGCGAAAGTACACAGTAAGTTGATTTGCACCTGTTAAACTGATAAAATGTTTTAAATAGTTATGAGTCAACAAGAAATGAGCTTTGTGATAATCTACAGACTCTTAGCCCAAACCTAAAATAATTGAATTGTCTGCTTACAAAAGGCTTTTTTAAATGAATGTGGCCGTCTTCAGCCTGAAATATTTGCCACACTATACGTTTTGGCATATTTATGGTGTGTAAATAAAACAGCTTATTCCAAATGACTGTTTACATTACGTTGGAGTTCATCATTACTTCTGATCTAAAAACCAGAGATGTTCCGAAATTCCTGTATTGGCCAGATCAGAACTCGGCCTAATACGAGAAAAAATCAATATTGGTCGAGTTGACACTTTTGTATTGCGCAGGCAGTTTTCATCATATTAAGTCAAATAACAAAGTAGTTAATTAATAAACAATTTTAATCCTGGTATCTATGATGAGTTTATATAAGCTCAATCAACTGGAAGGTTTATAAACTCAACTTGGTCATCACTTTATGAATCAAACTTTACAATATGATACTTAACAAAGTAACAATATCTCCTGGTTCAAAAATGTATTCATATTTCATTGATTGTGAAAACTAAGAAAGCATTGAACTTCTTGTATGTTCAAAATAAACTTGTCTACGGGAGATAACTGATTGTATTTTGACATTCAGCATTTTTATAAGTTTTATATCAAATAATAGACATTTAGAAAATACCCCGGTAGCTTACACCAAAAGTAACACCTTTACAACTTCAATTACTGTGTTAAAATAAAATGTGGAAAGAATATAGCTGGCAAAACAGGTAGTATTGTATTATAATACATAAAGCTAAAGAAATGTATTACAATATAAACAGCAGGCAGAAATAGTAGAAATGAATTTCAATCCATGGCAGTATACATAGACATATATTTCAATCAATTGCAGATACATAGAAAAATTTATTACAATCCATATAGCTGTAGAAATTTATAACAAATGGCAGAAACCACATAGTCTTTTCTTTCAGGTCCATCCTCTTAAATTGAAATCAGAAAATAAATGGAATTTGGAGGGCCCAGGAGATAATACTTTAGGAGCCATGGATATGGGAGGAGCCTCAACACAGATGACCTTTAACCCTGGGTCTCAGGTTACTGTTCCCATGGAGTATAGTGGTGATGTGATATTATATGGGATTAACTATACAGTCTATACACACAGCTATTTGTGTTTTGGTATCAACGAAATTGAAAGAAAATACAAGGCACTGCTTGTAAAGGTAAAAAAGTATTTAAGTATCGCAGCCCTTTTCCAAATAACATCAAAATGAAAGAACAAAGGTGTTGAAAATAGAGGCCATACAACACATTGAACAGCATATAAACATAAAGGTAAATTGTAATTTCTCATTTTGTAAGCAATGCTATATGAAATAAAAGCATCTTGATGAAATAAGATAAAATTTGGTAATAGGTCTTTTGTCAAGTCTTTTACGTTGAAAATGACATAAAAAGGAGTAATGCTAATCATAGAGTTATCTAATCTATAATATATTTCAGTGCATGGACATAAGTATTCATCACTATTTCTATATATGTGATATAATGCTTATTATATTTCATATAAAATCATATTTTTAAAAACATTATGGTGGGGTCATTTCTGGTCAGATTTTGCTCAACTTGGTAACACTAGAAGAAGGATTGTCACATGTTTATTTATTTGAAATTTCAAAATGAAACTTTTTTTATAATTTTAGCACAATTTTTTTTTTTAGTTTTTTTATATATGTCAACTAAAATAATATCATTAATAATTCAGAGAACAATTGAAGGTCTTTCCACCCCAAATGCAGATATTTTGATAGGAGAATATTCACTTCCAGTTTAAAGTGTCAATTCTGGTGTCAGATAATAGCTTAGTTTGCGCTGATTCCTAAAATATGGTTTCTATATAGTATTGCTAAAAATATGAGATATAGGTATGTACTTCCTGTTATCAAAATTTCACTTTCAGATTAATTTGAGCCTTACTTCACATTGATTCCAAAAGTATAAAGTTCTCGTAACTTTTACATGAAAATAATGGAAAAATGGCTACTTCCGGTTGACCTTCTTCAATGTCTTACATTTTTAACCCAATGTAAAAGACCCTATGACTTTACCACATACCAATAAGAAGTTACATCAAAGATAAAAATCTAGAAGGTCAAATTTAATTTTGACCTTGACCTCAATTTCAAGGTCATAAAGCTTGGACCTCAAATCTAAAGACCCAATGTATCTACTCTATAAGGTTAATGAGTTATCACCATAGAGCTTATTTTGAATTTAAGAGGGGAGAAAACTCCTATAAAAAGTCAACATATGGTTTGTAAAAAAACAAACACAAATGCCTTCATAATAATTCTTTTAAAAATAAAATTGTTTTTATATGAAATTTACACATGTATAGGAAAAAAAGTAGATGACAAAAACTTATGTCCATGCACTGTAGCTGAAAACATGTTGTACAATAATACTGTTATTTCAGAGTAACAATTATTCTAGTACCATTCCTAATCCCTGTGGCCCTACAGGTCATACAACAGTAGAAACATATACTGATGTGTTTGAAGCTCCTTGTACCAAGGCAGATAAAACATTTATGGCAGATGATGGTGAAAAGGTAATTTTACCCTAAAAATAGCATTGATGGGTTGATTAATATAAAATAAGGCGATGTGGTATGATGTGGTATGCCAATAAGACAACTATCCAACAAGGTCCAAATGAAACAGATTTAAGCAACTATAGGTCACCTTATGGTTTTCAGCAATCAGCAAAACCCATACCATATAGTCAGCTTTAAAAGGCTCTGACATGACATAATGTGAAATAATACAAAAAAAAACTAAAAGTTTTAGTAAAACCCTGATTTATGACAAAATAATAAATATAACAGATGACAACTGACAACAACCACTGAATTACAGGCTCCGGACTTGGAACATGCAATGTGGGGATATATACATGCTTGTAAGTGTTCAACCAAGATATTTGCTTCTAGTGGAAAATATTTCATGCATAATCAGGACAGGATAAATTTATTTTGATAGCCTTTTAAATGGATTTACTTTTCTAGACTTGTACTATGTTGAACACATCTATCTCATCAAACTTGAAATAAAGGATAGAACAGATACAGTTAAGTCTGCCTCATATCTTCACTTACATCTAGAAATTGACAATGAGTGTCGGTTGAGAACGAAATTTTACAATAAAAGAGATAATTTCAGCTTCATTGTGAACTTTCCTTTTCTATGTAGCAACATTCCAGAAGCACCTGCATATGGGGTATATATCTCCCAGTTGATACGATATTCCAGGGCTTGCATTTCCTATCATGAATTCCTTGATAGAGGGTTACTGCTCACAAGGAAGCTATTAAACCAAGAGTTCTAAGTGGTGAAGTTAAAATCATCCCTTTGAAAATTTTACATACGCCATCATGAGTGGATTGACCGTTATTAAATATCTGTTTCACAGATGACAACGGATATGTTCCAATCATCGCAACCACCAACCTGCCCTCCTTTTCCCCAAACCTACTGAATTAGGCTTTTCACAGGGTTTATACTTACATGACCAACATGACGGGTGCCACATGTGGAGCAAGATCTACTTTCCCTTCTGGAGTACCTGAGATCCCCTGGTTTAGTGTGTGGTTAGTGTTGCTCAGTCTTTAGTTTTCTGTGTTGTGTTTTGTGTACTGCTGTTTGTTTGTTAGGTGTTTTTCTTTTCAAGCCATGGTGTTGTCAGTTTATTTTCGACTTATGAGTTTGAATGTCCCTTTGGTATCTTTCGCCTCTCTTGTACCAATAAGTTTGCCTGCATATTGTTTGAAAATCATTAGAGAAACAGATTCCACCACCAAATCTCGTGTAATACGATATTTATCCACTCGAGACAGTTAAATTTTAAATATTTAAAACGCTCGGCAAGCCTCGCGTTTTAAATTTAAAAATTTAACTGTCTCGAGTGGATAAATATCGTATCACACTCGATGCAGTGGTAGAATCTATATGTATATAATCATTCACAACTATAGTATATAAGATTAAATCTCCATATGATATGACTTGTGTAAGAGTTGCATTAGGTCCACTTGAGCTTAAATTCCCCTATGGAGATTTTCAGAAATTGACCAATATGCATTTGACCTGTATTTTTCTGATTATCACATTGGTGATTTGTAATGAATTATTGATAACATTTTATGGAATTGTCACAACATATTTCTTATTGTATTATCATGTCAATACAGTGACAAAATAAACATTAAGAGCCTGCAAGTTTATTAATGATTCACTGTGTGCAAAGGGCAATAACTCTAGTTAGTTGAGAAAAAAAATATAGATAATACCATCAAAGATCACTTAGATCATTAACCATGGATGCCTGTTTCATCTCACAAAAATAGTCAAGTCTGACAAGGAAAGTCAGTTATATCATGTTTTAAACCTCATTACATTGACCAAATTATATGATTAAGTTTGTAGGAAGTATGATAAGAAAAGAATAGGCAAGATTTATTAAGAGTAACATTACATATTACAGTGTAACATAGATAATTTTAGTAGTTAGAGTTTAATCCTACCATTATTCTAAGATGCATTTTTTTTTCACATCAGAACAGAACATATGAGTTTATTGGTTCCAGTAACAATACACAGTGTTCTGCTATGGTTGATAGTCTGTTTAACTTTGGTGCTGGCTGTGGTTTCTCTGAGTGTTCCTTTAATGGAACATATCAGGCACCTGTCCATGGAGAATTTTATGTAAGTATGTTCCTTTGCTCAAAACAAAAAAGCTTTTGTTGACTGGTAATTGACTTTTCCTTTAAGTTATGGTTCAACCTGAATAATTTTTTATGCCCTAACCGTAGTGGAGGTGGCATTAAGTTTTACCCTTGTCCGTCTGTACGTCCGTCCGTACCTCCCAAAATTGGTTTTGATCTATAACTTAAGTTTTCCTCAACCAAATGTTATGAAACTTATACACAATGCTTAATATCACAAAACACAGATCAAGATTAAATATTGGTGGCATCACTTTTACCGTTCTAGAGTTATGCCCCTTTACAAATGGAAAAATTGCTGAATTTTTTGTTTCCGTTCTCTAACTTCAGTTTGCCTCAACCAAATGTTATGAAACTAATACACAATGCTCATTACCACAAAACTCAGATCAACTACAAATTTGGGTATCATCACTTTTACCGTTCTTGAGTTATGTACCTTTATAAGGTGATATGCAATCAGTGGGCATCATCTGTGTCCTATGGACACATTCCCCATTTATTTTTATCACCTACCAGTAATGTTTTTATGCCCCCGCCGTAGCGGAGGAGGCATTAAGTTTTACCCTTGTCCGTCTGTACGTCCGTCCGTTCGTCCATACATATGTCCCGAAATTGGTTTCCGTTCTCTAACTTTAGTTTGCCTCAACCAAATGTTATGAAACTTATACACAATGCTTATTACCACAAAACACAGATCAAGTTTGAATTTGGGTGGCGTCACTTTTCCTATCTAGAGTTATGCCCCTTTACAAATGGAAAAATAGCTGAATTTTTGTTTCCATTCTCTTACTAAAATTTGCCTCAACCAAATGTTATGAATCTTATACGCAAAGCTTATTACCACAAAACACAGATCGAGTTTGAATTTTGGTGGCGTCACTTTTACTGTTCTTGAGTTATGCCCCTTTACAAATGGAAAAATTGCTGAATTTTTTCATTTCCGTTTTCTAACTTAAGTTTGCCTTAACCAAATGTTATGAATCTTATACACAATGCTTATTACCACAAAACACAGATCGAATTTGAATTTTGGTGGCATCACTTTTACTGTTTTTGAGTTATGCCCCTTTACAAATGGAAAGAATTGCTGAATTTTTTCGTTTCCGTTCTCTTACTTAAGTTTGCCTCAACCAAATGTTATGAAACTTATACACAAAGCTTATTACCACAAAACTTAGATCAAGTACGAATTGGGTAGCGTCACTTTTACGGTTCTTGAGTTATGTCACTTTGTAACCTTGTATGCAAGCGGGGACATCATGTGTGTCCCCTGGACACATTTACCATTTATTTAAAACAGCTTTTACTATTGTAAATCACCCAGCTACAACACTTTCTGTCACCATTATATGTAGATGCAGTCTAATTTAACTCAGAAAGTTCATGTAATTAAGGCTTATATTTTTTTATATGCAAAATTTATTTGAAAAAAACATAATATTAATGTAAACATCACATGACATTCACTTACAACTGTACAAGTTGATTTCATGATATTGTTTTGCTGAAAAATATATTCGTGTAAATGATAAATTAAAATACAACAAAACAATAATGATGTCAAACATTTTTCAAAGCCATGTTTCATGAGACGTTTCATGTGAATTTCTTGTTGTTTTCATGTGTTAGAAATCTTGATGTGTAATTATATAATTTAAACATGATTTTGTAATGCATAAATACCTTTGGTTGATAAAAATGTAAAAATTATGTAAATTTTGAAACTTTTTTTCAGGCATTTTCCAATTACTTCTATGAGATGGATTTCTTAAATTTGACAAAGAATTCTTCAGAAGTCAGTCTATCAGATTACACTTCAGAGTTGACCAGCTTATGTAGCTCTCCTTGGTCCAAGGTAAAACAAAATATAGTGACCAATATGATCTATTGAGCTTGCAGCATCGCAATTTTTGTTGTTGTACATAAACATACTAATAAACTGTAATTAGTGAAGAAGTGTTTTATATTTTATGATATAAAGCTTGAGCAGGGTTTTTCTATGGTGAATATATAACACTTTTAATGTAAAGGTATATTAACTTTTATTTTAGGTGGAGGACTACTAATTATATGTAAATGTAACATTTTTATAGTTAGGATACATTAACTTTTATTTTGGTGGAGGATTACTGACCTTATGCGGTACTCCTTCATTGGAGGAATATTCCTTTTGCAGTTACAGGTCCCAAGTAATTTGTTATATTGCTTGTAACATAATGCAGGTATAATTTGGGTCCAATGCATCCCCTTTAATTTACTGAAATTGAAACTTTCACAATGTCATTATTAAGCCCCTGCTGGCAGAGCTTAAATGGGACAATGTCATTATTAAGCCCCTGCTGGCAGAGCTTAAATGGGACTATGTTTTCACTTTGTCTGTCAGTGCATCACTTTCAAACTTTTTTCTGCAATGATTCAATTTCTTAAAGTGACAGATTATTTATGATTTGGTTTTAATTGAGCCATTTTTATGCCCTGGCCGTAGTGGAGGGGGCATTAAGTTTTACCCTTGTTGGTCTGTACGTTTCCGTTCTCTAACTTAAAGTTTGCCTCAACTAAATGTTATGAAACTTATACACAATGCTTATTACCACAAAACTCAGATCAAGATGAATTTGGGTTGCGTCATTTTTACCGTTCTTGAGTTATGTCCCTTTATAACATTGTATGCAAGCGGGGGCATCATCTGTATCCCATGGACACATCCCCCATTTATTTTTAATTAGTTCACATGGATAGAGAAAATTGCTTGAAAAGATTTGTTTTCACTAATTTTTTTCTGTAATGCCTGTATTGATTGCTTATATATTTGGTATATAGTAATATAATAAAAAGTTATATATTAAGTTTGTTTTTTGGTTATGTTTGCTGTGTGGCCCTTGAACACAAAATTGCTTGAAAGTATCGTTGTATTAGAAAAAGGGGATGGGGGCTATAATGTATGATGCATTTTTCCATTCGTTGCTCTTGAATGTCTAGTTAACTGAATACTTACATATTCTTACACAATAAGCCATGTATGAAATTTCCTTCTGATTTTTCTTAGTACCTGGGGATCTGAACTTTTTGAAATTTTATATCATACTTTATGGCAGCATGCTTTACAGGTTGGTGCATTTTCACATTCATCGCTCATCAATTTCCTGATTGCCCAATACCTACATATACTTACATATAATGGCCATGTAGGAAAATTTTCTTTGCATTTATCTCTGGAACTACTTATCAGAGCACCTTGACATTTGGTAAAGCTTCATGTGAGCGTGCTATATGTTGTAATATGTTTTCACATCTGTTGCTCATCAATGGAGTATCATTAGTATGCAAACAGGTCAACTTCTTATTCTATAGTTTGTTTGGAAAATTAATGTTGGTACAGTTATTCAGATTATGTTGCCCTGCTACAACTACTTTGAACAGTTGATTCGGGAATCATTATTAATATAGTTAAAATGTAAGAAATATTATTTAGGTGTAACACCATGCACCTTTCTCATGTTCACTTAACTAATTAAAATTCTGAAAAGAAAAAATGAAAGTCAGTTGCACAATTGAAACAAAGACTTCATTTTGTAAAAAAAATTATGCCAAAACTTGTTGGTTATTTTATTATCTCTATTGAATATAGGTTAAAAACATGAAGGCTGCCAATGCTGAGTTTTTACCATGGTACTGTTTCCGTGGACACTATATACTCAGTTTGTTAACGTCAGGATATAAGTTTAATGATACAACATGGAGAAATATTAGATTTTTGAACAAGGTAAGTTGATGAGTTTTAGGATTTTTCATTTTTCTGCTAATTAAATTAAATTCTGAACACAATCATATCAGTAGAAAAAGGTTGTCAGTCATCTTGTTTAAATGATTGACACTTGATTTTGTTACTCAGTGGATAAACCTTGTTTACAGGATTTGACCACTAGATACAACAATAAAGACCACAATACATTTATAATGGCTAGGATTGCTAGTTTTCATGTGAAAGGTGGTGGTTCTCTCCAAGCACTCTGGTTTCCTCCACCAATAAAAACTGGTTGTAGAGAAATAGCTAATCATATCAATAAACTAAAAATTTGAATAAGATTTAAGAAATTGTACAAATTTTTATTGTGAGTGATGTAATAACAGGTATTATCTCAAGTGGCTATTCTTTTAGACAACAAGAGTGCACACGCTGAAATGTCTTGCCTTCTTTACTAACCATTGATTTTATGTTGATAGTCCTAAATATAAAGCTTTACTACAAGTAACACATAAACTTAACATGATCCAAGAAAATGAGGTCAAGGTCAGATAAACCAAACGAGAAATACATGTACACCTTACAATCATTCAATAAACCAAACATAGTTGACCTATTGCTTATAGTTTCTAAGAAACAGTCTTAACCAAGAAAACTTAACATTGACCAATGAACCATGAAAATGAGGTCAAGGTCAGATGAACCATGCCAGACAGACATGTACACCTTACAATCAATTTATGCATTAAATATAACTGACCTATTGCTTAAAGTATCTAAGAAACAAACTTAACCATGAAAACTTAACATTGACCAACGAACCATGAAAATGAGGTCAAGGTCAGATGATAACTGCCAGAAAGACATATACACCTTACAATCGTTCCATACAACAAATATAGTTGATCTATTGCTTATAGTTGAAGAAAAACAGACCAAAACACAAAAACTTAACACTGAGAAATGAACCTTGAAAATGAGGTCAAGGTCAAATAAAACCTGCGAGACTGACATATACATCATAAAATATTTCCATACACCAAATATAGTTGACCTATTGCATATAGTATTAGAAAAAAAGACCAAAACTCAAAAACTTAACTTTGACCACTGAACCATGAAAATGAGGTCAAGGTCAGATGACACCTACAAGTTGGACATGTACACCTTACAATCATTCCATATACCAAATATAGTAGACCTACTGCTTATAGTATCTGATATATGGACTTGACCACGAAAACTTAACCTTGTTCACTGATCAATGAAATGAGGTCGAGGTCAAATGAAAATTGTCTGACGGGCATGAGGACCTTGCAAGGTAGCACATACTTAATATAGTTATCCTATTACTCATAATAAGAAAGAAATTAACATTACAAAAAATGTTGACTTTTTTTTCAAGTAGTCACTGAACCATGAAAATGAGGTCAAGGACAATGGACATATGACAGACAGAAACTTCGTAACATAAGGCATCTATATACAAAGTATGAAGCATCCAGGTCTTCTAGCTTCTAAAATATAAAGCTTTTAAGAAGTTAGCTAACGCTGCCGCTGCCGGATCACTATCCCTATGGCGAGCTTTCTGCGACAAAAGTTGCAGGCTCGACAAAAACTACTTTTCTATCTTCTTCATCTGAAATGAGAAAGCCAAAGGTCTTTAAAAACATTAAATGATTTGAGGAATTAAGTTTTCTGCAAGCAAATGAAAACCCAGATTTGGTCAATCTGTTTAAGGAATTGTCTCCCCTAAATTTCCTCTTTTAAGGTAGCCATTTGATTTTTTAAGGGGAGAGATGGCACCTGAAGTGATTGTAAGCTGTTCCACCTAATACTGAAATAAGGGCTCCTTACAAAATCAGGTGGTCTTATAATTTTCTGTACTGAACAGTTGATGATTAAGTTTGTAATTAACTATTGTAGACTAATGATTTTTTTTTTCCATTTGCAGGTAAACAATAAGACTGAGATAGGGTGGAGTTTAGGATTTATGATAAGTTCCAGTTCATCAATTCCAGCTACCATTCCAGACATTATGATATCTAACTTAGCTTTTATTATGTTATGTGTTTTGTTTATTATTTTCATGATATTAGGTATAGGGTTTATATTGCTGGGTGGTAAATATCAAAAAATGAAACAAAGAGGAATGTATGAACGATTAAAAAGTTATGGTGCTGTATAACAGTCATTGTTGATGTTTCTTATGTCTGTGATATATTCATGTTAGTATTTATTGTGTAACATCATTGTAATATAGTGAGGAATACAATAATGTTGTATGTGATGTGTCAGTATTCTCAATAATAACAGTGAAATTCAGATACAGAGACAGATTCTTCAGGTGGATCCATGTCAATATAAAATGCAATAATCCCATATGAGATTGTGATTTGTTTATTTTTGTTAGCCATATGTCATGATTTTCTCCCTTTTATAGGCAGGATTATTGATACTTCTGGATTCAAGTAAAAGTCCTTGACTTTTTGCACTAAATGCTCATCCAATCTACAAGAACAACTTTGTTCTTCTTCTAAAGCAGATATATTCTGAAGGTGTATCCATCTAATACCGAGCTCTTTGCCAGCTATTTTTCATCAGACCAATGTTTATATGTTGATTTTAAAAGACACTGTTACTTCTTTTGTGCCTGTTTACTATAGCCACCTTTTAAACTCTGAAGGCTACTTTGTACAGCTGTGAACGTTTCTTTATATTACAGAGCTTGTTTTGGAGGTATAATTCCCAATTTAGTGAAATCTTGGAGTTATTGAAGATATCAGACCAGATATTATGCAAGCAAACTTCTCTGGTGTTTTTGGAAGTGATTGTTTGGCTCTATACACAGCTTTTCTCGCAGCATTTGCTGTTGCATAAGCTTTTAGTAACTTTTGTAATGATGGTGTCTGTAAACATATTGTTAAACAGTCTAATCTTTTTCTTTTTCTATTGTATTCTTTCACATGCTTTTTTTTTGGGCAGAATGTCTTTCTCTAGGTTCGTTTTTCTTTTGCCTCCAGTAATCCTTTTGCTTTTCTTTCTCTTTTCTATTGTTGGCTTTACTAGTCAAGCTTGAAGTAATTTTCCCCTTGTGCTTTTCTCTGTACTTTCTATACCTCTAAATAGAAAAGAAATAGAATAAATAGAAAAGGACAGTACCAAACTAGTTATACTGTGTTTGTAAGCAAGACACAAAAGTCGCCTGGATGACATATTTTAAGAAAATAAGTTGCCCAAAATGAAGTTTGGAAGACTTATTGTTTATCCTTTTGAAATCCCCCTTTAGGCCTCAAAATTAACCATGTGGGCCCCTTGTTTGAGTTTCATTTGATAAATACAAATATTCAAATCTATATATCGATGATGAGGAGAACATAATATTCTTAGAAATTGACCCCATATACCCCATTTTCTAGACCCCCCCCCCCCCCACCCCCCACCCCCAAATATACCAAGTGGGACCCTTGTTTATATAAACAAAGTTGGTTCTTCACCTACACATACTTTTCTACATTCCTTTACTTTCAGATAATGATAATATTTTGTATTCTGTTGATATATAGTTATTCATAATTTTTAAATTTTTACCTGTTGGATAAAAGTGTATTTCTTTATGTGGAATCATGGATGGGCATTATAACAATGAAATTGTATAATATTTTGTACTTAATACTAGACAAATTCCATTTGTTGAATCAAACCTTCAGCTATCAGATGAGATGGATATTGGTTAGTTTATTCTACTGCAGGGGACAATTCCCTACAGCCTAGCTATCTTGTTTCATATAATTTTAAAAAAAAACAACATTTCTTGAAAAAAAATATTTTGAGATGAACTCAATTTGAATTTTTGTAATAGTTATATAGATTACAACAGAGTGCTTTAATTTATAAATTTTATTGATGTGTGTGTGTTGTGTAAACTAGATGTCATCCCTGGATTTAAAAGAAATCATCATTGCTTCACCGAAGTATTTGTGTTTGTTTTTCTGTATCTTACCTACAACAATTATTGGGGAATATGAATAAATAGACATCCTTTTTTATGTTTAAACCAAAGTAGTGTTTCCCTAATACATCTGTTTGTCTTTGATGAAGTTGCTTGAGCAAAGCATTACCTCCATGCATGAATAAAAACAGTACCATAATCAGTAACTACCGGTACTAATATTGGGACTATCATGTAACCCTGACAAAACCTTCTTTATTATTTAACAATTGGCAAAACCTTATTTATGTCTTTATTGCAATTGCAGATATCTTTATGTCTTCTCAATTCTTTCCCCTATGTGAGATCAGAGACATATAATACATATGTATTATATGTCTCTGGTGAGATAGAACTAGTTTGGGGTTAAACTGTTTTGATTTTGGTTTGTGAAATCTTGTAAGTAAACCACCAGTGTTAATTTTAACTGTTTAGATGCCTACATTCAGTTTGCTGGTTGGTTGTAGCCACACAATTTTCCTGTAAATTATGAGACCCATCTGGTCAGCTATGTGTAAGTGACTTTTGAAATGGCAGTTGTAATGTATTTTGTATTATCTAATAATAATCATGTATCTAAATTGAAATGGGGAATACTTCAGTTAGTAACTATAAAATTGAAGTGGGGAATACTTCAGTTAGTAACTATAAAGGAAAAATACTAAGTTAACTCATTTAAAGGTCCAAACAAGTATCTTAAAAGAAGAGTAACTAGCATAATTCTATAGAAATTTTGGAAAGAGTTTTTCATGACTAGTGGAGTCAAGATATAATCGTTTTCAAGGATCTATACCATGTTATAAGTTTATTTAATTGCTTGTGTGTATGTACCAGCTGGTTTAGATGTTGCCATAAAAGAGAGACATGATATGTATTAATTATTTTTATTTGTAATCAAACCTTATGTAGCATTAACCAATATTTTTAGCATTACAATTTATTATATCTATATATAATGTTATATTATTGATGATTGAAGTTGTGTTTCATTGTGTGTTTAATGATATTTGTAAGCAATATTTAAAAAAAATAGTAGCATTTCACCCATTCATAAGTAAAAGGCATTAAGATTTTCTACTGAAATAAATTTACAATTAGGTTGTCTGGCCCTGTATACATCAAAATACAGGCAATGGCATTAGATTAAATATACTACTATCTTATATATCTTTTTTTGTCTGTTTTGAAATTTGATGTAATAGCATAATATTAAAAAAAAATGAGAATTTTTGTCTTATTAACTAAAATGTTTTTCTCTTGATACAAATGTGAAAAGGGACATTATTCTTATAAAAAGTGAAGTCACATTCTGTTTATCTGATGCTGTGGATTATTTATTATTCCTGGGATAACAATTATTCCTGGGATAACAATTATTCCTAGGATAACAATTATTCCTGAGATAACAATTATTCCTGGGATAACAATTATTCCTAGGATAACAATTATTCCTGAGATAACTATTATTCCTGGGATAACAATTATTCATGGGTACAGGTAAACCATACATTCAAGTGTTCAACCAAGTACTCATTATCTTTAAGCTTTTATGCATACTTTATCAAAACCACGAAATCAATTAAATTTTTATTCAATCCACGAAGATTGGTACCTATGAAATAAAACCAATCCATAGTGTCCTAACATTAAAGAGAGTATTGTACTACAGTTATTCATAAAGAGAGTATTGTTCTACAGTTATTCAACCCCTTCTCCAATTGTAATATGAATAAACATGTATTGTCGTAGGCCGTACAGTACCCCATAGTAGTTTACAGTCTCATCCTTTACATTGTCGTAGGCCGTACAGTACCCCATAGTAGTTTACAGTCTCATCCTTTACATTGTCGTAGGCCGTACAGTACCCCATAGTAGTTTACAGTCTCATCCTTTACATTGTCGTAGGCCGTACAGTACCCCATTGTAGTTTACAGTCTCATCCTTTACATTGTTGTAGGCCGTACAGTACCCCATTGTAGTTTACAGTCTCATCCTTTGGTCTTGGATGGATGGTTGTCTCATTGGCAATCATGCCACATCTCATTATTTTTATTAACAAAGATTCTGTGTATATTTGCAGCAGTATGACAGCAACCCAACAATGTAATAAAACCACCCAAAAAAGATCTAGCAAGGAACATTAAGTATTTCTACCTTTGCTAAAACAGTGGCCTGATGAAGGGGGACTTTTATATCAATACCATTATTATAATGACTTTTTGTGCCATGCTCCTTTAAATAAAGTGCTAAATTGTTATATGTGTCACAAAGCCATGTGTTCCAGACTTCTATGCTTTAAGTAAGTAATCAAAGTCTTGTTCATTGTTAATTTCGACATTTGATATGTTTTATTTGTATGAAATGTTTATATTTTCACATATTGCATACATTTATTTGTAAGGTTAAATAAAGTGCTAAATTGTTATATATGTCACAAAGCCATGTGTTTCAGACTTCTATGCTTTAAGTAAGTAATCAAAGTCTTGTTATACATTCGTTGTTAATTCAACATTTGATATGTTTAATTTGTATGAAATGTTTATATTTTCACATATTTCATACATTTTTATTGTAAGGAATTGTTTTGTCATGTAATATGATTTATGCATGGTATTATTAGTCCCCTACCGACGAAGTCAAAGGGGACTTTAGGTTTGCACTCTGTCCGTCTGTCTGTCCATCTGTCTGTCCATCCGTCAGTCCGGCAAATCAGCTTTCCACACTTTTTTTCTTCGTTCTTGAAGATATTGATTTGATATTTGGTATATAGTTTTGCCATGACAAGTTATAGATCAAGTTCGAATTTTGTTTCTGTCTGATGATTTAGTCCAGAGTTATGGACCATAACTCTGAACCATATCTAATGTTGGAGTACTATGTTAAACCATATTTCTGTACAAAGGGAGACAACTCACTTTTTAAAAGACATTCTTTGGTAAATTATTTGAAGAATTTTTTGGCAGGTTGTTTGTTATTTTGTATAAACTAATTTTCTGAATACTATATATATATATAAAAAAAATTATGAAGTGAAATCCTTTAATTAGATAATAATCTATTTTTATTAATGTATATATTACATTACATTGTGTAGATAAAAATTGTTGACATTTTATAGATAAGTTACAAATCTATATTAGTTTGTGACAAATGAAAGAAAAAATATTTGGAACTATTAATTATATTTGATTATAATTTGAAAATAGATATACACTGTATTACATCATATCTATTTTAGAGAATTATTAATCATATCTAATGTTAAACTGTTTTCCACACTTTTTTGCATCATGCTTGAAGATATTGATTGATAATTGGTATATAGTTTTATCATGACAAGTTATACAGATCAAGTTCGAAATTTTGTTTTGGTCTGATAATTTTTTGCAGAGTTATGGTCCTTGGACTTGAAAATTCACTCATTTAATCAGTTTTCCACACTATTTTTAGTCACGCTTGAAGATATTGACTTGATATTTTCTTTTTGTTTACACCATGACAAGTTATAGAACAAGTTAGCTTTTTGTTCCAGTATAATGAATTTTTATCCCGGTAGGGGACTATGTATTGCCATGCAATACTCTCAGAATGCTTGTTACATATTGTGTTAACTAGTCACATTAAGGTGGTATTATCTTATTTTGAAAAATGTTTAGTGCTGTATGATAAATACTATGAATATATTTGTATTAAAAACTGTAAGAATTGATAAACTGCCTTATACAATCTGAAATAACTCTTGAAATTTATTTTTGGCTGATTTAACTCGAGATAATTACCGCCAGCCCTAATGACCATTATCCTGGGTGTGTGTCCATAGTCATAGTTAAGAAAGTGGTGTGCTAACAGCCATGTGATTTGTTGTGCAGAAGCATCTTCAAGATTCTGACCAAGAGTTGATCATATAGGGGGGATCTCAGGTGCTCTGGAAGGATAAGCAGATCCTGCTCCACATGTGGGATCCAACCTGTTGCTCATGTAAGTACAAACCTGGTGACAAGTCTAATTCGGTAGGTCACATTCGCAGAAAAGAGGACAGTATTGAGTTAATGCCAATTGGAACATATCTGTTGTCATCTGTGAAACATATATTTCATAACAATCAACCAATTCTTGATGGCATCCATTAAAATTTCGAAAAATGGACTTCATCACTAGTTGGTTAACCATTATGGTATATTTTCACTTTTGCTGTTCTGGAGTTATGGTTCCTTATTTATTGGTAAATAGCACTTTATGCCATTTCCGTGTTACAACTTTAACCATTCAACCATTGGTTTTCAATTTTAAAATGTTGTTACTGATGACGAAAATGGTGGTCTAGTTCAATATTGATAATTTTCACTTTTGCTGTTCAGGAGTTATGATCCAAGTTTGATTGGAAAATGATACTTGTTTGTTTGTTTCATGCAATAATTTGAGAGAGCTTGATCCTA